AGTTAGCCATTAGCTGTGATTGTTCATTATAAATACACTTAAATGATAAATTGAGTGTAAAATTATTGTGGCTTTTTCTAGAACTTGTCAAAAATGGGGGGAAGATAATGTAAGACTCCTTTTCATTCAGCAGAAGCTACTATAAGGAAATGTTTATTCCGATATTTTTTCATGGAATTTAGTTTTAGAAATTATAATTTAAGAATTTGGTTTTGTTTCCTACTCCTTATATTCTTCACTCTGTTTTCTTTTTTTTTCTTCTTCCATGACCTCCAACATTTTTCATTTGCTGTCCCTGAAAGACAGGTAGGAGGAAAACAGTGAGTTTTTTAAAAATCATGGGAAATAAACGCCCTACTTCTCCTCTTCTGGTATCCCTTTTTTAAGAGAAGAAAATTTCAGGAAAAAAAAATCAGAGTGTTCTATTGTTTCATGTAATCAGGTTCAACTTAAAAATCCTGTCAAAACATTATCATTTAGCATTAGCATGTAGCTTGATTTATATAGCAAGTAAGACAATTGTGCCTGCTCTGAAGAGCTTGCAGCCTGTCAGGAGACAAGACAAGACACTAGGGGGGATTACACCACGAAGGAGAATAAATGAGATGAGTGACAGAAAAAGGAATACAAAAAGCATCCTAGGAGTTTGGGTGAATGGTGCAACACGCATAATGTTGGCTCCTGTGCTTCATTTTTGTTTGTTTTTTTTTTTAAAAAAAAAACCTTAACATTTTTTAATTTATTAAACTCCTTTGATAAAATTTTGCAAAACATATAAATGGTTTAAGAGCCACTGTTGTATTTCCACATCATTTAACATCCATGAACTTGGTAGCTAGTCAGTTGAAAATCAAGTTCCTAAACACAGGGCTGTTATTTTGTGTTTTGGGACAGGATGTCCACTTGGCTCTGTACCACAACTTACTTTCACAGAAAAGTGTTTTCAGTGGAGTATCATAGGAGAGTTCATAGAAAGAGTGGTTTGGAAGTGAATGTACTTCATGAAAAATCCTCTTGTAAGCAAGATCTTGGAAGATTATTTTGGGCAAGGATGAAGGTGTGATTTGAAATTGAAAGAAGTTGCAGTGCATAAATTATCAGGAAAGAGGTTCTGGGTATGTTTGTGGAAGACAGACCAGAAGAAGGATAGAGAAATAAAATACTGGCACAGAATTGAGGGTTCAACCTTGCATTCTTTCTTCCCTGAACCACTGGTATTCTCCTTTGCTCACAGTGTCCCCAACACCTCTAATGTACTCCATCAACTCCCCCACATCCCCTTCACTTCTTCAGGTGCTGCATCACCAGTAAATTCTGTGCTCTTTTCATATAGTCAGCCTCAAATAATTCTGTTCTTCAAAGTGATGTTGCTGAGTAGCTGGGAAATAATTATATATTAGAGAATAATACATCAGCTAATGAAATAATTTTTAGCTTGTTCTCACAGTAAAAATCCTGGCCTTTGATCTGCTTCAGATTTTACCATATAGGGTACTAAAGAAAAACAACAGCAACAAAACTTCTCTCTGATGCTTTGTTTATAAGAAAAGTTCACACATAACAAGAGGCAGTTTGGAACATGAAAGAACTGCACAAAATATTTCTTTTGGTAGCTGAGAGATGCAGGGAGGTACACTACTGCGTGCATGCATGAGTAGATTAATAGTGAATTTTGTAAATGGAAATGTAATGTGGTTGTTTGAGAATTTATTGGTGTTCTCCGTTGTGCAAACTTCTGACTGGCTTGGGAAATATCTATTTCTATTAACTGTATATCTTGCCTCACATTCCTGAAATGTTCCTAGAGCTTGGGAAAAAAATGCAGCCACTCTTTACATCTAAAAATAAGATATTTACTGAAGATGTAATGAAATCGTTAAGACATGCATTTCCCAGACTTCAGAATTAGCTAGAACTGCTCAGTGAGAAACTTCATTCTGTGGGAATAAATTTATGGATAGTAGAAAGATGCATGATGTTCTAGAGAAACAGCAAGAAATGTATTTATCAGATAAGACCTGAGACCTTTGTTAGTAGTTTGAGGGGTGGCAGTTGCTCCCGCCCTGCATGATGTGAATATATAAGAGCTTGGTGTTATCATGGACAGGGACCCCAACCTTCCCTGGGAAGGGCACTGTCTGAAGAGTTGTCTGTGGGTTCTAATCTTGGCTCTTACACTGGCCTGTTGAGTGGCCCAAGCCCTGGCACGGTGTTTGAGCATATTCCTTGCTCTTCTGTGATCTGTCTCCTGTGCTAAACCACAAGATAGCAGAGGGTATTACCAAAGCATAACAGTGCAAAGATTCATGATAGGTTGCAGAAGGCTTTCATTTTTGTTTGCTGTTTTGGTTAGTTAAAATTATTGGGGAGCAGTGGAAAAATGAAAAACCCTTTAAGGAGTGAGCTAACAAAAAAAGTCTGGTAGACAGGCGAGCCTAGCTCTGCACAACTATAATCTGGTTTTAGGATGAGTTTTTGCTTTAGAATCCAGAAAAATTACATTAGCACGTATTGGTGTAGTAGTTGCTTTCTAGTAGGAGTCCCAGAAGCATTGCCTACACTTCCAAAGCAAGTGGTTGTGACCATGCATGTGGCCTTGGGATGTGCTTGTGGCCATGGGGACTTCAACATGTTCTTCTCTCATAAGCATCTCCTTGATATTTCTACCAAATGAACCATAAAGGGTAGGAATTACCACAACAGATGAGCATATGAGAATCTACCTGGCTGTTTAGGAAGGTGAGAAAAGTGGGATTTATAAATTAGCATGATGGGCTGAGGCTTACACATGTGTGTGGAGAGAAGAGGAATGCGGGACAGTGCATGGAAGCCGTCTTTGAATATGTACGTTTTAATACAAGTCATTCAAAACTAGAAATTTTAATTGACTGTAAGAATCAGTATCCTAGTGAGAAACTTTTCCCTCATTCTTTTTTTTTTCTTTTTTTTTTTTTGAGTTGAGAAACTAAAAATTTTGTGTTCTTTCATGGCTGGTTTTTGATCAAAATGTCCCCTTCTAGAGAGGAGACTTTCAGAATGCTGCTGAGATTAGCCTGTGGGCTCCTAGTGGTATGGAAGCAGACAGACACCATTGACACTGACTCTCTGACTACCATCTCTTTTTTCTCTCTGTCTTCACATGTTTAAGGCCCACGCCTTGAGTCACAAGATAACTCTCCAGAAAATTTCAAATCAGCGAAATTAATAGTTTCAGAGAAATTAATGATATGACAAGGAAAATGGGTGCCTCAGTTAAAGCAAAATAAAATTGGAAAGTGTAGAACAATGGCATCCTCTGGGGAAAAAAACCGACCAAGTCAGGGAGTCTGTTACCCATTGACAAACATAAATAGAGAGGTTGTGGCCTGGTGCTGATGCAAAGACAATTGTGGATGGGGATGCCTGGGTGGACCTTTGGGTTCTCATTGCTTGGCTGGTAGGCCTTGAAAGACTGTGAGGCTTCAGTCAGCAAAGAGTTAGTTAAGATGTTCTTAAATGTAAGCATGCACACTTAATTTAAGTTAAATATCTGTTAAGGTGCCTTGCCAGCCCGTTTTTTTGCTAGCCCTTCATTTTTAGAAGTTGTCGTATTTAATTCTTAACAGGAGATCAAAATGCTTGAATGAAAAGATCTCTGTAAAGAAGGTTGCATTATAAAAGGGAAAAAAAATATTAGCAGTTTTCCTGAGTGTGTTTATGCCAACTCAGCTTATTGCTAACATTTAAAAAACATTAGATAAATTTCATTCTCTTTGTTTTCTGTAACTAAGGCTTGATAACATTATAAACTTTAATTCAATAATAACTAATAATGCTTGTACAGAACACCCCGCATTGCCTTCTTGTCTTTTCCCCCCCCATTCATTCAAAAAAGCACAATAAAGGGAAAACTTTTAATCTGCCTCTCTAATAAAATGTACAGGAACATTTAGGTAGATTTTTCTGATAAAGTGTTCTGCCCTTTCCATAGTCTCATTTCAAGTGACTGTTTTAATAGTACAGAAATCATGCATGTCACCAGAACATAGGGACATACAGAAATGCTCTGGTGAGCCTTATTTCAGTGGGAAGTGCTTAAACTTTTTATCATTTGGAGAAGCAATATAGTGTGTGTAAGATTTTTTATTATATTTTACCAGTTTTCCTACTAATTTTGTGCACAGGCTAGTATGAAGTTTATTTTAACAAATCAGATATGTAAGGAGTGACCAAAAGTGAGTACTCCATAACATTAAAACATACCAGTCTCCATCTCAATTTTTATCATCTCAGGTAATTTTCCTTTATAAATGACCACAATTTTTCCTATCTCATCCAGCACAATGCAGTTCTTACTAAGAATGAAGTAGTTTTCCCTCAGAAGCAAAATTGGATCCCAGGTCATGAAGTGGAGTTGGTGCAGGGATTTAGGGATTTCGGAGGCTTGTATCTGATTTCCTTAACTTCACATGCTTTTTCCTGTTGTAGGATCAAACCCTGACACTAAAGTGAGATTTTTTTTTCTCACCTGAAAGAAAGCAGAGTAGTCAATTGAGTGCCATTTCTGCTCTGCATGAGGCTCAGTTTACTAACAGTGAGCGGAGTTTGGTTAACTTCATATTCTGGACAAGCTTGTAAATTTGTCCCCTTCTAATGCTGTGATCTTATCAAGGTTGTACTGTTTTCCTTTTCTTCTCCTCCACCCCCATCTTCTTTCTTTCCTTTTTTTTTTTTTTTAAGTGCAGCCTTCTGATCAATGTGCACTTTTTTTTCCCATTTCCCTAAATACATCATGAAAAAGGATGAGGTTTCCGCCTTAATTGCTTGTGCCTTTTATTCACATTCCTCTCTCAGCCAGAATTGTGAAAAGAGTGTTAGTAAAAGGCTGCACAATAGAGCTTTTCATTAGGCCTCAACAAGGCACACAAAAGAAGGCTTTTGGAAAGAGTGAATGCAGGACTTTAATTTGCAGGTGGAGAGTAGATAAAAGGTGCTGACGCCTCTATTATTCTCTTACTTAGGTGACCCCTACCCCGTTCAGCTGATCCCAACTACCATGGCAGCTGCTGCCGCAGCAACACCGGGCTTAGGCCCACTCCAACTGCAGGTAAGTCCGAGCACAATGTAGAAGAGGCAAAGGTTAAGTAAATATGAAAACCAGTTTTCTCTTCCATTGCAACACAATGCAATTAAACGGGGGTTTGGGGCTGTTCTTGTCTCGTAAAATTTGCATCTGAAGCAAAAGAATCGTCAAATGATACACATTTTCCTTTTACCTTCCAGGAACTTCTTGTTACGGTTTTTGTGTCTTTATTGTCAATTTAACTACTTTTAGGTTTGTACTTTAAATTTCTGCATAGTGGCATGTTTGCTTCTCTTATTGTTGCAGTTTAACCCAGCTGGCAACTAAGTACTACACAGCCACTCACTCACTCCACCTCTCCAAAAGTGGGATGGGGAGGAGAATCAGGGAAAAAAGAGGTGAAACCCATGGATTGAGATTAGAACATTTTAATAATTGAAATAAAGTTAAATACAGTAGGAATAATGATAATAACAACAATAATAGTAATGAATGTAATGAAAAGGAGAGAGAGAGAGAAGTAAAATACAAGAAGAACAAGTGATGCACAGTGCCATTGCTCTCCATCCATTGACCAATGCCCAGCCTGTCCCAGAGCAGCAATCAGCCTCTCCCGGAAAACTACCCCCAGTTTATAAACTGAGCATGACATTCTCTGGTATGGAATATTCCTTTGGCCAGTTTGGGTCAGCCATCTCAGCCTTGCTGCCTCCCAGCATTTTGTACAGCTTCTCACTGGTGGAGCATGAGAAATGAGAAATCCTTGGTTTAGGGTAAGTGCTGTTTAGAAACAACCAAAACATCAGTGTATTATCAACATTATTCTCATCCTAAATCCCAAACACAGCTACTGAGAGGAAAACCAACTCTATCCCAGCCAAAACTGGGACAGTTTTCCATTAGATCCTTCTGATGCAGGCTGTAATGCTGGCTAGGTGTAAACCACCAAAAGGAAATGGATTGCCAGGCAGAAAAGCTCTGTCCTGACAAGCACTTTTAAACTGCTTAAAAGTTGTTTACATGATTATGTCCATTTAGACCGTAAGCTCTTCAGAGCAATGACTGGCCCCTCCTACAGTGTTTTATGGTACTCAAGCATTTTAGGCACTGCTGTAGTGCAGATAATTAATGATTATCCTAATTTAACATAGACAATTAGAAAACAGGTGGAAAGATACTAAAGAATTTTTTTTTCAGCTACGTGAAAGAGTTGGTCTGGTAGCCAGATGTATATGATTTTCAAACTGCTGATACAATTTTAAATTTTGAAAGTATTAGGGTGTCCATGAGTCTTAATGACAGCAGTGCAGATGTTCCTCAGATATTACTGATCAGCCACACAACCCTTGTCAAGTCATTGGAATTAAGCAAATGTGATGTCCATTGCTGCAGTTTGGATTTTGCTACCTGCCATGTATGCTTTGCTGGCAGGATGAAGCTGAGTAAAATTTGGGACTAAAAGGAAACCAAAATCCAAATCATCTGTAATTCTGCATGATCTGGATTGACACTCTTTTCTAGAAACAAGAAAAAAAAAAAGTCCAGTGCTCTCCATCGCCAACGAGTCTCTCCGCTCACTATTATTTGCCAAGTCACATGGAAACAGCAGAGCTTTATACCTGCTTGGAAAGGCTCAGTGTTTATAACCAGTACGTGTGAAATGCATTCTCAAACTCTGCTTGGCCCACATCAGTATGAAGTAGACATCAGTAGATATTTCAGTTGTTTGGCCAGCGTACGAGAGCGTGGGACACAGTCCTGGGGAGGATCTTTTTTTTTTTTTTTAAATTTTATTTTAACACAGCCAGCGGAAGTTAGCTGAGTTTCACAGAAATAGCTGCCAGTGTGTAAGCTGACACATTCCATGCACCACAGAGGTTAATACATTCATTCCTATTGTGCCTTTGTATGAAAAGCTACACTGTCTGTGTGTTAGTTTCTGATTCTGTGAGTTACAAATACCGTAGGCGGCTTAAGAATCATGGGAGCCATAAAAGTCATCCCTTTGAAATGAATTTTGAGGAGTAACGTCAGTATTGATAAAGTGCTTATAATAGCCAAACACACATGAACAGACATATGGAAGAAAGAGGGGGGGGAGAAAGGAAAAACAAACATGGAGCTAACTAGCAATGAGAAAACAGAGGTCTGAGTCTAATTCTTATTTTTCATTCAGGCTGGTCCTAAAATAATCTGTCAGTGCTCCAGTAAGTTGGGAGAATGGTTTACTTTCATTTCAGGACCATCTTTGGACTGTATCTGTGCATGCTGTGGGCTGAAGTATTCTGATTAAAATAGGCTTTGTCACAATGTCAGTTTTCTTGTTAAAAGGTGGGCTTTGTGCAAATGTGACTGACTTCATAAATATCTTAGGATGAGTTTAGGTTGTGGAAAATTTGAGAACCTCAAAGGCCTCTTGTTTCTGTGCAATGAGGAACATGAAAATACTGAGCAAATTCACCTATGTTGTTTTGCTGCATGTTATTTAGTCTGGAATTAAAGGGAGAGTTTGGCAGCCACTCAGTGGTAAAAGTTCAAATTACTGACTCTGTAGACTCCCTTGAATCTTTCAGACTCAACCTCTAAGGCTATGTTTATGATGGAAAAAAATTAAAGTTGTCTTTCTTCGTGTGTTAAGTTCTTTTCAGCTATCAGTGCAACCTGTCTACTAGAAATTGGGCATACTACTTAAATTCTGGTGTCATTTGAAAGAGCCAGGCTAGATGCACTTTGAGAATGGTTTTATCATACAGTGGTACTCAGGATGGCCACTGAGCTATGCAAACATGACTTGAGCTGAATCTAGTATAGCTGCTAACCTAGAAAGATTATACCTTCCAAACTCTGTACAAATCCAGTTTAGCTCAGTGATGATGATGACTTTGTTGAGTCACAAAGAAACATTTGTGATGTTTTTTTATGAAGAATTGGCCCAAACCCACCTTTAAATGGCATTGCACTCTCTTTCAAGGGGGAACTCTTCTTACTTCAGACATTCCCGTGCATTACATATAACCACAGTGTTCCCTACAAACCCTCTGTCATCTGGTCATCAGACAGTAAAAGGTCAGGAAAGTACAATGTTCCTTCTTTTCTTCTTTTTCTATCCTCCCTATCACTCATCTTTCAGACTTTGTGTACTTAAAGCAGTGGTTTTCAGGGGAGATCAAAGGACCTGACACAATGCTCAGTTTGTTGCTCCCAGCAGAATTTGGTACACAACGTTATCTTAGTGAAGACAAAGCCAAGGAATTTTTCTTGTTTGTTTGTGTAGCGATAAACACGTCTTTGTTATTTCATTAGAGAATTTTAAGTCGGGTCATGGCTTTAGTAGTGTACCATGAGATCAACAGGAAGTACCTTTTTATCCCTGGTTGTCAGAAATTGAATTTTCTTTTTGTAAATGAAATGCACACTGTATTTATAGAAGAACAACTAACACCTGATTGTTTTCCAGTGGCAAAGAAACTCTTTATCAGTGAAAATGTAATCTCTCATTTTGAAATCCCCTGTTGATTCCCAGTGAAATCTGAAGCCCTCCATTTCTCTCCCTGCCTTTTGGGTCCACACTGGGATATACAGATTCTGTCATCTGATATCTGCCACAATTAGCCATACATGATTGCCTTTATTTTCAGTATCCACAGAGAGACTAATGACTCAGTGAGAATGGAAACTAAAACTTACATTGTTAGGTGTTGCAAAAGGAGTAGATGGATGGGACCATGTTGGAGAAGCTGGAACTAACATGATGCAAATGTGAACCTGTCCTCTGATAAAGTGCTACCTATCAGAACTGCATATTCACTCATTCCCACATTTAATGACATAAATACCATTTGAGAAAAAAATAAGTTTTAGCTTTCCTCTGGTAGTGAGAAGACTCGGTCCTGAATGTTGTGTGAAGTGTCACTTTAAAATACACTCTCATTGCAGTAAAATCCCTCTTGGTTAGCATCTGAGTTTCTTCTGTTAGTTTTTTCCCTCGTAAATATCATATGGTCTTGTTCTTCAGGAGGGATGCAGCATGGTGATTCTGTTTCAAATGAACAAGGACAAAACTGAGCACAGCCTTGCCGCTGTGTTCTACTGACTGAGGCTAATGAGTCCAAAGTACTGCTGTATGCCTTATATGAACACTATGTTTTCCTATATGGTTTGGCAGATGAGGCATTTAAATTCCTCCATCTTGAAGATCAGCATTCAAGGCTGTAAGCATAGATATCATGTAACAAGTTTTACACAAGCTAAACTGAAGTGATTATTCTAATACCGGTCATCTCAGGCATCACTCGTATGAAAGAGATGATTCCAGAAGTCTGAGCAAATTCAGTATAACATTATGTCTGATAATTTGTTTTCTGATTAAAAAAAATATTTCCTGCATGCTTTCTGAGCATTAGGAAACGAAGGACCTGATTGCATGATCTGAAAACTGATAGGAATCCACACCATTGGGAGTGCAAATGGTTCAGATTTCCCAGATTGCTTGTTTGATAACCAGATAGTGACAACGACTGATAAATTGGCAGTAATACAAATGCTGTATATACCCATAACTACATTGAAAGATCATACTGGATGTATAATGACAGCTGCCCGTGTAGTCTTACTGCATGGACATTTTGTGTCCTGTCAAAACAATATAGTAGTCTGATGTAATACAGATTTCCTGCAAACATCTGCTCTTGGAAAAAAAAACACCCCAAAAGGTTTTTTGAGTGCAGACCTTTTTCCAAAGAAAAAATTTTCTTCCCTGTTCATCTTAGCATGAAACAGGACATCATAAGTATTTTGGTTGTGTTCAACATTATGGCCAAACCTGTCACTATATGAATCAGGAGAACTTCATGTTAGTGTACAAGTTTGAAAGCATTTTAGCTGGGTCTCAGTCCTGAACACCAGTCATTAGAAAAGTCATGATTTGTTCTCGTTGGCTATTTCTATAAAGATGATGAGTAGATTCAGACCCTAAACATATCTGGAAAAATAGTTTGGCCAGGTTTTTTAGTCTCCACTTTCTT